AGCAGGCCAGGGGGCTCTCGAAATATCCAGCCCCCCGGAGGGTGTGTCTGTTGTATTGTTTAATGGTGTTTGTGTATTATTCCTCCTCCCTTGTTTTATTGTAAGCCGCCCGGAGTCCTTTGGGAGGGGGGGGCATACAAATCAATAAAACTATAACTATAACTAACTAGCTGCAGTTTGGCTGTTCAAATCTCACTGGTTCAAGGTTGACTCAGCCTTCTATCCTTCCGAGGTGGGTAAAATGAGGACCCATATTTTTGGGGACTCTGTAAACTGCTTAGAGAGGGCTGTAAAAGCACTATGAAGTGGTATATAAGTCTAAGTACTATTGCTATTGCTATTCTCCAAGCACTTTGCAATTCAAAGTGGAGCACAGGGATCATGCTAATGGAATCCTGAAGATAATCTAAGCAGTTTCACTACCAGCAACTGTGAAATTTTTGCAGAATAACCATGAATTTAATAGCAGATATATGTTTTTATATAATCTGTATGAGGTATAATCTTAGTTAGTTATTATTCCCATTTCAGCATTCAGTTGAAGAGGACTTGAGAGAAATCACAGTTTTTCTTCTTTTTTCCTCTAGATGCAGCTGAATGCTTTCATTGCCAAGAAAATCATTACCCAAATAAAGATAATAATTTATGCATTCCCAAGGGCATAGACTTTTTGTCCTATGAAGAGCTCCTAGGAATTGGTTTAATTCTTGGGATTCTTTCATGTTCCTTGATAACCATTCTGGTTCTTGGAATATTTCTGAAGCACCACAATACCCCTATTGTCAAAGCCAACAACCGGAATCTCACATACATTCTCCTTGTCTCACTCTTACTCTGCTTTCTTTGTGCATTACTCTTTATTGGCAAACCTACTCAGGTGACCTGTCATCTCCGACAAATTATTTTTGCCATTACATTTTCAGTGGCTGTTTCTTGTCTGTTGGCCAAAACCATGACTGTTGTTTTGGCTTTTATGGCCACCAATCCAGCATCAAAGATCAAAAAATGGGTAGGGAGAAAACTAGCCACTTCCACTGTTCTTTGCTGTTCCCTTATTCAAGCAAGTATTTGTGCTATGTGGGTGACAACCTCTCCCCCATTTCCTTCTGCTGATACACATTCAGCACCAAATGAAATTGTCTTGCAATGTAGTGAGGGTTCAGATGGAATGTTTTACTATGTTTTTGGTTACTTGGGTTTCTTGGCATGTGCAAGTTTCACTGTAGCTTTCCTTGCCAGGAAATTACCTGATAGTTTCAATGAAGCCAAGTTCATCACTTTCAGCATGCTGGTTTTCTGCAGTGTTTGGCTCTCCTTTGTTCCAACCTATCTGAGCACCAAAGGGAAGTACATGGTGGCTGTGGAGATCTTTTCAATTTTAGCCTCCGGTGCGGGGCTGTTGGGCTGTATCTTTTTCCCCAAATGTTATATTATTTTGCTGAAACCTAAACTAAACACAAGGGAACAATTAACAAGAAGAAATCCCTAAAATTATAAACCTTTAGTTTCAGACCTAAAACTTCTTGTATCATGACATAGCACTTTTATACTGCTCTTCAAATAATCCTTTGTTTAAAAATCATTTGCAGAGTCAGATGTGTTTCCAATCCAAAAAGCAGTTGTATTTTCTTGCTTTCCTTTCTTTTGAAAGCATTTTGCTTCTCATTCAATAAGTTTCTTCAGTTTAGTTCTTCATCTTCTTCAATGAGAATTTAAATATTTTCAAAGGAAAGAAAAAAACAAGAAAGTCCAGATACCTTTTGGAAAAAGCACCTTTGGGACAGCCGTGACCTGGATGGTTGAGAATCTCCCTAAAACATAATCCTTCAAACTGTGATCTGAAGACAAGATATTGCAATACTATTCTTTATAAATGACATTCTGAAATACTTTTACATTCTAAGTTGTCTTTTCATTAAGAATGTGTTATATTTGATTCTGATGACATTAAGTTGCTGAAAAATTTAAAACTTGTTTGGAGGTCATTTGTGTATTTTTAGCTGACAATGGGTACATAATTCTTTGAATGATAATAACAATATTTTGCCAACTCAATTTTATTTATTTGATTGATTAATCTGATTCATTTGATTTAGTAAAGTCATTCAATACTAAGATTGTTGGGGAGGCTACCAATAAATCTAATACATAGATTAAAAACAGATTAAAATCACATAATTGATTGAACCAAAACAATATTTTCCCAGCCTGATGAAACAAACAGTATAACTCTAGATCTCAGAACAGAACATGGTCTTAAGCAATTTCCAGAAAATAAGGAGAATGGGAATGAGTGATATCTCTGGAAGATGGGGATGCTGTATCAGAGAACAGAGATTGAAAAAGAAAGCTTCTTTTCCTCATTCTCACCAGATGACATTTAATTGAAAGTAATTGGAGTGTACTGACTCTGACACATTAGACTGGCAAAAATAGGGAAAACTCTGAAATAAACAGGTTGTATACAATCTTTATAAGTTGTGACTAGAACTTTGAATTGCACCATCTGAAGCGCATCTTGTTCTACAATAGAGTGCAATTGGTTTATATGATCTACTCATGCTAAAGTTCTTTATCTGCCACCTGATTTTCAAGGAGTAGTTGTAGCTTTAGGACATTCCCCAACTTGCACACTAGTTTCAAATGGGAAACTCCAATAAATCAGGTTGCAAAATATAAAAATGTCCTTTATCCTGCCCTGTATGTGTGTTGGATCAAATATTTTTCTCAAGATTGGGTCAAAGTTTTTCCTATACTCACTCAGGCCTGAACAGTCACCTGACACTGGGTCAATGTATTGACAGAATCAGCTGCATAGCTTGGGGTAGAGAAGTACAATTATGGGTATCATTCATATATTAATGACACAAACCCTGGACTTAGGATGATCTAAACTTCAATGTAGATGAGGCAGGATGATGGCATTGATTCCTGACGTACCTCACAATATATTTCACTTCATTAAGGTCAGTCAAGATAACACCATAAGGTTATCACAGGGTCCATCCAATCTGAGCAATTGTAGCATGTATACTTTTCCCTGTAACCCTAAAAAGATCAAATCTTGTGGCCTGCAATCCAGAGCAAAGAAGGGGTCACCCTAAACAAGGCCACCAGTTGTTTATCAGAGGGCATAATAATCACAGAGAAATAGTGTGATATTTTAGCACTCGTATCACCATAATGTATCCATGAATTCAGACTTTAATTGTGTTTAGTGAGATTCACTCCTTTCTTCATCCAACCATATTCCAAATGTGTCTTCTGCCACTTCATCTCCTGGAGCTCATTTGAAAAGCAAGACCTGATGCATAGAGAAAGGCTGCACAAAGTAACCATGCAATGTATATTCAAATAAATCTATCCTCAAAATTATACTCAACTAATATGTATAATACCATGGGATTAAAAACCCTATTTTTCGTTATATTCTTATGATAATTGACATCATTTAATGCCATAACGCTAGTGGAAGTAAACATTTCTAGAAATTATTTTTAAACAATCATGTCTACATTTCATAATTGCTAACATATTAACAGGGCATAGCTTAAAGAATAATAGTCAGTAATTTAAATGAATAAGTGATGCAGTGGCTCAGTGGCTAAGACTCTGAACTTGTCGATCAGAAAAGTCTTCTGTAATTTGGCAGTCCAAATCCCTAGTGCCACGTAATGTAGTGAGCTCCTATTACTTGTCCCAACTTCTGCCAACCTAGCAGTTCGAAAGCATGTAAAAATGCAAGTAGAAAAATAGGAACCATCTTTGGTGCGAAGGTAACAGCGTTCTGTGTACCTTCAGCATTTAGTCATGCCGGCCACATGACCACAGAGATGTTTTCAGACAGTGCTGCCCCTTCAGCTTTGAAACAGAGATGAGTACCACCCCCTAGAGTTGAGAATGACTAGGACATATGTATGAGGGGAACATTTACCTTTTAACTTAAATGAAATACATGGTTTGTTAATGTTTTTTCTGTGTGAGGAGTTCCTTGTGGTTTAACTCAGGTTTCAAGAGAATTATGTAGCATTTCGGGAAAAATATGCAACTGAGTAACCCAGCACTAGAGGCTAGGATAGAAAAAATCTCCACAGCTACCACATATTTTCCTTTTGTGCTCAAATAGGCTGGAATGAAAGCTAACCACACACTGCAAAAGACCAACATGCTGAAAGTGATTAGTTTGGCTTCATTGAAAGTGCTGGGGAGGTTCCTAGCCAGAAAAGCCACTATAAAACTGGCCACTGCCAGGAAACCCATATAGCCCAGGATGCAATAAAACATACAGACTGATCCTTCATTGCATTCTAATATAATTTCTTCAGTGACTGTAATCATATCAGCTTCTGGAAAGGGGGGAGCTTTTGCCAGCCACAATATACAAATGACTGCTTGGACAAGAGAGCAAGAAAGTACAATGGTGGTTGCTAATTGTTTCCCTACCCATTTTTTCATCCTGGATCCTGGCTTGGTGGCAAGGAAAGCTAAAACCACAATGATGGTTTTGGCCAAGAGACATGATACAGCCACTGAGAAGATGAGTCCAAAAGTGATTTGTCGAAAGAGGCATATTATAGCCCCAGGTCTAAAAAGGAACTGCAATGCACAAAGGAAGCAGAGCTGAAGAGAAATGAGAAGAGTGTAGGTGAGACCTCGGTTGTTTGCTTTCACGATTGGGGTGTGGTGATTTTTCAAAAAAATTCCAAAAATCACAGCTGTGAATAAAAAAAAGGAGATGGCCACAATAATTAAAGCAAGGCCCAAAGGTTCTTCATAAGTCAAGGAAGTTACTGTCTTAGGAATACATGAAATTTTGTCTTTGCTTGCATATTGATCTTCTGGGCATCCTGAACAGTATTTAGCATCTAAAAAAAATGAAAAGTTTCATTCTCTTATTGCTTTTTTAGATATCTCTATCTTCAGTAGTACAAAATTATTATGATTGTTGTGTTTATAATTATATTTTAGTTTTAAATTCAGTTTATTACTGCTCATTCTGGAGAAGACCTAGCTATGTGATCACTAAAGCTGACTCTTCCTTGATTGCATGCAATCAATGAATCAATTATCTATGACATACTAAAAAATTTAAAACTTTGATAATGAGAAAAATGTCAAGCAATCTAAACCCTTCTTCTTTTTATTTGATCCAGGCTTTAGAAAATTTAAATAAGAATATCACATCTCTAAATCACTAGAAGGTTGCACTAGCATTCAAAACAACATGAAGAAAAGCGTTATTCACTGAACATGTACAGATTATAAACAAAGGAATATGAAATGCACTGTTTTATTATTCTAGGTTAAATTTTAAAATAATATACTTAAAATAAGTTTTTTTCTAGTTTAGCTAACTTGGAATTTCACCTGTGAAATCTGAACAAATGTGTTTTAGATTATTAACTATAATAGTTGCATTATGTTAGAATATTCATGACTAGGAGAGACATGATAACAAGGTTAGCCAAGGAATAGGCATAGCAACAAGGTCAGCCAATGAGAGCTGAAACAGCTAGGAGCCAGGGCATGGTTTAGCCTGCAACTTTCAGAGTCTGTGCAAAGAATTGAAACAGAAGCTTAAGACTCTGTCTGCTCTGAACTCTGAATGAAACTGTTCTCTCCTGCTTGTGTTCTGCTTGTAACTTTTACTATGTTGAAATAATCTACTATTGGTTTTGTAAATTTATTCATTTGTTATTATGTATATACATTAATGAATCCAGCTGAATCAGTTATCTGTGTGTGCTTTCTGAATTTGATTTTTCTGCAACAAACTCTGACACATTATACATAATTGATATTGCTATACTGTTACAACAAAACTCTCTGATGAAAAAATATTACATGTTTTTGATGAAGATGAGTTAAATTAAAATAATAAGTTTAAATAATTCTTGCACTCTTTTTCTGCCATCAATTTATGTGCATGGTTATTGCCACCATACAGAAGGAAAGCAAAGTAACCCTTTTTGAGTGGTAGCTCTTACCAATCTTGTTTGACAGTTTCCCTTCAGGACATAAGATACAGTCATAGCAGCAAGGTGGCTTCTCCTCTTGCTTTTGCTTGAAATAACCAGGATGGCACCTCTCAGAACAAATAGAAGTGGGTATAGTCTAATCCATAAATGAAAAAAGTAAAGCTTTACCATTCAGGAAAAATATTTGAATACATTCAAAGCACAAGTTTGGATTTTTAAAGACTGCTAAGGCTACAGAAATTTCTGAATTGTCCATCTGGATATAAGTTGGCATATGATATAGACATATTTATGACATTTACACTGAGTTCATGTTGAGTTTCTGTAGCATGCATTTCCTTAGCATCTTAGGACTGCTTCTTAGGACTGTAGGGATATTTTGCTCGTATGAACTTCAAAGTTGATATAAAGTATCCCTTAAATATGCTTTATGAAATGAAATGTCTGTCTTGCTTGATATTGCTCTCTTTTGAAGACCACCCAGAAATGCTTCACTCTACATGGATTCAGCTAACTGTGTTTGTCCATACTTGTAGGTGAAGTATTAATTTTCTGACAGACAGGAAGCTAGGGAAAATTATATCTAATACATCTAAAACTTTGGCAATTAACACAAACACCCTTCAGTGCTCTGTCCATTCATATTCTTTCTGTATACCAATGACTGCATCTATAGGATTCCCTATGTTAAAGTACTGAAATTTGCAGATGATACAAAAGATATTGATCTCATTCAAGATTACAATGAGTCTGAGAATAGGCCAGAGGTTGAACAACTGGCCCTAGAGTATAGCCAGAACAATTTGGATCTGAACATGCTTAAAATTGTAGAGAGAGAATGGATTTTAGCAGGAGCTCTTTTATTCTACCACCTGTTATTTGACAGCAGTTTCAGCAGTAGAATTCTTCAAGTTTTGGGGTTCTATAATCTTGCAGGATTTGACACTTAAAATTAGAACCATCCTTAAGAAAACACAAAAAAGAATGTTCTTCCTGCATTAACTCAGGAAGTTCAGACTGTCCCATGAGATGTTGATACAGTTTTACAGATGAATTATTTAGTCTGTCATTTGTATTGCTATAACTGTCTGGTTTGGTACAGCAAATAGGACTGGTGCAGAATCAAACAGATTTTTAGAATTGCAAAAAGAACCATCCAGCCTTCCATAAATGATCTGTATATTGCATGGGTCAAAAGGAAGGCTGAGAAAACTTTTACAGACCCCCGCACATCTTGAAACGGTTTTAACTCATCCCCTCGGGACACTGCTATAGGTCACTACATGCCAAAACAACTAGACACAGTAGATACTTCCCTCATGCCCTCACTCTGCTGAACATCTAATTCTCACAATACTGTCTAATGTCTATGAACATGTTCTAAGTATTCTTGGTCAACCAAAGTATTTTATTTTATTCTATTCTATTCTGACGGAATGGATTCTCTGGAAAAAAATCTCTTTCCACAGATAGATAATAGATAGATAGATGACAGATGGATGGATGGATGGATGGATGGATGGATGGATGGATG